TTTGCAAAATCGATCTTAACCTATTTCTTCTTCTTCTCTAAATTCTCTCTCATCTCCACTCCATCAAATTAACTCAATAAACAATGTCAATCAAATCCTAATTAAATTTCCATATAAATGCAATCAAATTGCAAATCAACTCCCAAATTTATCAAGAACTAGAAATGGAAATCGAAAGAAAAATGAGAAAACATGTTGAACTTGACAAATCTAGTTCTAAAAAAGAATGGAAATCAACATAATCTAGTTCTAAACCCAGCAACTGGGTTTCGAAGAAACTCAATAAAGCTGGGTTTCAAAGAAACTCAATAAAGTTGGGTTTTGTCGAACCCAACAAAGCTGGGTTCCGTTGAACCCAACAAAGCTGGGTTCCGTTGAACCCAACCAATTTGTTACTGCCTTTTCTATTGGTGAAATCATGATTAATTCTCAAAATCCCATTGATAACATTGGAGCATAATATAATCTCAATGCAACAACCATTCCCAAAAGTCTTTCCATTTTCTTTTTTTTTTTGAATAGCGAGTAAAAAACAAGAGATAGCCCTCAATCAGAAACCAAAGAAACATTCGAAAACCAATATGGGTTCCACTGAACCCAACAACTGGATTCATCGAAACCCAGCCGATCTGGGTTCCATGATCCCAACAGCTAGGTTTGAGGGAACCTAGGCAATATGGGTTTCACCGAATCCAACAAATTTGGGTTTAGTGGAACCACCAAGCCAGAGGTAGAAAGGGGAAGAAAGAAGGATCGAGAGGGTGAGGGCTAATAATGTCATTTTGTATGTTTTTATTTCTTTTTATTAAAATATAAATATTTAATTGATGTGACTTTTTTTTTTGTTCATGTAAGATATTTCTAAAATATATTATTGTCATATCATCAAAAGAATTAAAAAAAAATGTCACATGAAATTATTTAACTGCCACGTCATATTTAACTGACGGAGAGACAAAAATTATGCAATCTTCAGAGTTAAAAGATAAAAAAAAGTACAAAAAATTGTTAAAGAACTAAAAATGTGCATTTCATAAAATTAAGGGACTAAATTTAGCATTTAACCAATCAAAATCAAAGAAAACATGCAAGGGAAGTTGGG